GGGGGGGGGGGGGATGGGAGGGGCTGCAGGAGGGGATCCTTTCTCACCTGTAACTTCCACTCCCCAAAGAATATAGTGGCTGTAGGAGCTGGCTTCTGCGATGGGCTGGGCTTTGGCGACAACACCAAGGCGGCGGTGATCCGCCTGGGCCTCATGGAGATGATCGCCTTCGCCAAGCTCTTCTGCAGGGGCCCTGTGTCCTCTGCCACCTTCTTGGAGAGCTGTGGTGTTGCTGACCTCATCACTACCTGCTACGGAGGGCGGAACCGCAAGGTGGCTGAGGCCTTCGCCCGCACAGGAAAGGTGAGCCCTGGGGGGAATGGAGAACGGAGGGTGGGCCCTGTAGGTGCCACGATAGAGGAACTTGGCTTGAGGTATCTCTTGAGCACAAACATGAAGATTGTTGTGACCATTCCCAGCCTTTCTTGCCTCCTAAGACCTCCACCTGTCACCTGAGCCCCAGACTCTCCATCTCACTCTGACAACCCTCCTCTCCCATTTCCATTCACCCATCCTGTTTTCTTCACAGTCCATTGAGCAGCTGGAGAAAGAAATGCTGAATGGGCAGAAGCTGCAAGGGCCCCAGACAGCTCGGGAGCTACACAGCATCCTCCAGCATAAGGGCCTGGTGGACAAGTAAGTGTTTGCCACGGCCCCACTGGTGGAGGGAACCACAGCCAGAAGTGCTCTCCCTGTTCATCATCTGCCTGAACCCCCCTCAATCTGTGAAGTGGGCAGAGAGGAAAATGTTATCTTATGTTAACAGATACAGAGACTAGGGCTTGGAGAGTCTGGTATGCCCACTGTCCCCAGCTAGTTCATAGTCTTTGAGTTCCTTCCAGTCTAGTGCTGTTTATACCACATTGCTTTGACTCCTCTGCACAGCCTCCCTCTATCTTTTCCTTCCTGTCCTCTGCTATGGGGGATAGAGCTCTGGAGCAGCAGCAATGAGCTCACCTGACTGTCCCAGTTCTCTGTCCATCATCCCCAGCCTAAGTTGCTCCCCTGAAGCCAACCTCCTGTTCCCTGAATGCTGTCTCGAGTGCTGAGGTGTGAGAACAGTCTCTGCTTCAAGGTGCTGCTTTACGTGGAGCACAGACAGTGGGGGTGATGGGCTGATCAGAGCAGAGCTCTGTTGGTCTGAGAAAGAATCCTAGAATAAGAGAGTATGAAACAGGTTCAGAAAATTGGCTCATGGCTGGTCAGGGTAAAGCTTCCTCATAAAGCAACAACCTGGGCAAGAGGATGAATGAGAAGGAAACTGGCATTTATTGAGCACCTTCACAGAATACATAAACACTTCTTTACTACTGTGTTATATTGCTCTCATTTTACAGGTGATGATACTGAGGCTCAGAGAGTGGCTTGTCCAGTTGGAATAGAACAATGCCAGGGAATCATGCCGGCAAGTTCAATACAATAGGGAGCAAGGCAATTAACAACTTGACCCTAAAACCCAGGACTAGGAAGTTCAGATTCTCAGCAATTGGAAATTGAGAGCCAGAGTCTGCCTGAACTTAAAGATGGGAGAATAGGAGAGTGAAGGGTTTGGAGGTAGATGGGGAGTGGGGGGTAGAGGGCACATCAAGAGGCTAAGCTGGGTCTTTCCTTCCCCATTCTAGGTTCCCTCTGTTCATGGCTGTGTACAGGGTATGCTATGAGAGCCAGCCCGTGGGGGAATTCATCCGCTGCCTGCAGAATCATCCAGAACATATGTGAGCGGGGCTGTGGCTCGGCCAGGCAGCTTCTTTACCCCAGTGGAAACAGGAAGAAGCTTGGGTACCTGGCCACTAGGATCTCCGGGACGCCCCCTGGGAGCAGTCTCTTCTCAGCTTTTCACTGGAGGACAGGAAGCTGTGGGGCCCAGCTACCTGCCTGGAGATCCTGAACCACCAAGCAGCCTGCAGCCTTTTGCCACCACATCTCACCAGAAATGGAGATGCCTTCTCCCTCTCCAGATGTGGGGCTTTCTCCCTGTCCTCTGGGAAGCCCCAGTGCTGCCTGCTTGGGTGTGTGTGGTGGGGCGGAGGGTGGAGGGAGAGGGAGGCAAGGCAAGGGCTGTCCACTGCTGCCTCACACAGAGTAGGAATCCTGTCCCCAAGCCCAGTTAAGTAGCTAAAAAACTACCTCAGCCACAAAAGGGATGAGGTAAGGGCTGCCAGGGAGGAGTCTGGGCTTTTGAGCTGACATAGGGACCCCTTTACTCTGACCTCTGCTAGGCCCCACACAGCATCAATGGATCTCAGTGTTTGTTAACAAAATACAAAGATCTCAACGCCCTTGCCCGTCCAGCTTCTCCTAGCAATATCTGTGTCCTCAGAAACCTCTGGTCATTCCCTCCCCCACCCCCACCCCCCCCCGGGGGCTGCCTGGCACCAGAGTTGCTGCCAAGCTGGCATCTCTGCTCCTGGGGCTTTTTATTCTCCCCATGGACTTCCTGGTTCTTAGTTCTTGACCAGCTCCTCCCCACCGTGCATGACCTTTCTGAGCCTTTCCTCACCCTCGCTGCCAGCACCCTCTTCAGGGAGCAGGAACTTAATCTGCTGACAGAGCTACCTTTTCATAGCAGGCTCAGATCACTCTGCACCCTGCGACCTTTGTATGTGCCCTGCCTCCCTTCTTAGGAGCCCTAGGGGGAGGGGGGAGGTTTTAGCTGGGCCCCTCCTCCTGCTCTCTCCCCAGGACATCCTTGGCTCCACCCCTTTCCTTCTCCCTAACCCCGTACCTATTTCGCAACTGCCTGCAGAGCAGCCAGGGCAGCTAAGCAGCACCTGTATCTAGAGTCCCAGGAGCCAGAGAGTGGCCCAAAGGCTGATCAGGGGTAGGGAGGGGTGAGCAGGTACCCATGTTGATGGGTCCTGACATTCCAAGGCCAGCTCTCCTTTGTCATCTGCAGGCCTTCTCTCCAGGTATATATTGGCACCACAAGAGCTGGGAAACTCAAGGAGGAAAAAAATTAAAACCACTCTATCCCCTGCGGTGAGGGAAGAACAGGAAGGGGAGGAGGCAGGGGAGTGTGCTTTGCTCCGGGACAGGGTGGCAGTGGGGGAATGTCACAGGTCAGCAGCCTGGGCCCCTGGCTATAAATAGTCCCCGAGGGCCTAAGTGCATCCAGCAGAGGGTCTCAGCTTCCTGTGTGGCATCACCTGGCACATGGTGGCTGTGGCCCTTATTCCTGACCAAACCAGGGGAGCAGGCTCTTTTCAGTCTCTTGCCCTTGAGAATTCATATTTCTACCAGCGAAGGGCAGAGCTGCTTGGATCAGGCAGCGGGAGTGAGGGGCACAGTCACCCCACATCTGGCTGGGCTCAGGTGGGGAGCACTGACTGAACCCAGGAAGTCAAAGTGGAGGCAGAACTACGGCTCCCTTCCCTCAGCTGCAGCTACGACCTTGTTAGACAAACTTTTGCCTACTTTTCTTCACTCCAGTTAACCGAATCTGAGGCCTTCGAATCAGGCCTACTTGTCTACCCAATAAAATGTTTTTCCAGAAACGAGTTGGGAATGGGAGCTTTCAGTGCATGTGGCAGTGCGTATGCTGTGGTGTATCACTGCATGTATGTTTTCACTCAAACTGCAGGAAAAAGAAAAAAAAATAATAAAGCTCTCCTCAATAATCCCAGCCACTTCCCACTCCCCAACGCGGTTCCCCTTCCCCCAAATGGTACCCGCTCTCCCCGCTTCCCGGAGCTTCTTAGGGGCTTTATCACGTCGCCTGCAAGCGGAGAGGTCACACATGGGACAGAAACATCCCTCGGGCCCACTCCGTGGTCATGGCCACACGTGCCGCGCGTCCTTGGCGGTCCAGGCCTCGCGATGCAGGTCGGGTTCCTACCTGAGCTTGGCCAAGGCCGGGCCACAGGGAAGAGGGCCGATCCAGGCCCTAGGGGGCGCGCGGTCCACCTCCAGAGGGCTGACCCCGAGAAAATCTACCTAGCTACCATAGACGTCACCGTAGGCCGGGGATTGACTGGCTGACTGAGTGATTGAGAAAGATCGTCTTTTGTACGGTGACTGAGTATCCTAACAGTTCCGTTTCCACAGCCTGAGTCGCCAAAGACCCTCTCTCGACGGAGAATGACTACAACCCCCAGAACCCAATGGGCCCCTCGGAGAGGAAGTCTTGTCTGAGGATGCGTAGTAAAGGTGACTGGCCCGGAAGCCGGAAGTTCAGGCAACCAGCCGGGGCTGCGGAGGGCAACCAGCCGTAGCTGCGGAGGGCTCTGGGTCGCGCCCCAGTGGGCGGAGTTGTGCTGTGTCCCGCGCGCAGTGCACGCTCTCGCGTTGGGAAACGAATCCCAGAGAGTAAGCGGTGCTGGTGGGAGGGCGAAAGGGTGCTTCACCAATAGCGTGTCAGTGTCGAGGGTTGTTTCTGGGCCGCTATTTTCACGTGCCAGGACCTGGGTGTTGCGTCTGTCTGCGCTAGGAAGTTGCGTAGACTGTGGTGGCGAGACGCTGCCTGCGGAGACCTCGGTTGGACAGGAGGGAGCTGCAACATCCAGGTACGCCGTCTGCTGGGCCCGGGCACGGGCCGCTTGTCTGCAGAGGCGCTCCCGCTTGGGCCTGCCTTTGCTTACCGCATCCTCTCATGAGCCGGTCTTCAGGCTGGCTTTGGTGCTCTAGAGGTCACCGGTTATCCTGCGCCGCGGACCACAAGCTGCGATTTGCACACCTTCCAGCCCAACAAGCATCTTGCAGCCGTAGGTTTCTGTCAAACCTTGACTCCAGCCAGGCGTCTTGGCCCTCCAAGCTTTGGCTCCAGTAGCTCTGACCTTGGAGGGTCACGGTTCATGGGCCACCTGGGGCCCTGGCTACGAATCTGCTTTTCACTTAATGTCTGTTCCGGTTCAGTGCATTAAATTAACTTCTACCTTAGAATTTACCCGTGACCTAGTCACCTGTTATCATCCACTGATTCCATCTGACCAGTCTTTTTAGTAATAGTTTCCAATTTTCATTCTGTCCCAACACACCTGAAAGATACAGCCCACCTCCATTAGTGGCAGTGACTTGATACAGCAGTGATTTTCAGCCAGGAAGGGGGAATGTGTTAAATGCAAAAGCCCCTAAGATGTTTCTGGAATTCTCTACCTGCCTTCTTTCCTTATTTGTTTTGCTCCCTCAAACTGGCGTTCCCTTTGCCTCTTTCTCTGGTCTTATCCTCTGCCTTGGTGTCATTTGTTACCTCCACGTGTATCTGTAGCCTAGCCTTTCTCCCAATCTGCCCAGATTTGTATATCCCGCTGCCTGGTAGACATCATCACATGAATGTTGTGTTGAGCATCTTCATTTTAACATGTCCAAAACCCAACTCATTATTTTCTTGACTGACAGTGCCATCACCACCCCGGTACACACACAATGACACACACCTGTTTCTTCTCGTTTCTTATTCCTATTAACAGTATCCCAATCCACAAAGTTTCCTAACTTGCTGCCTTGGAGATATTTTCAGCTTTGCCTTAATCCATTCAGTTAATAAATCTTCGAACTTCTGCATCTGTCTTCTCCTTTTCTACTGCCCTGCCTTATTAGCTCAGAGCCTGTGAAGAGTTTTTGTTAGTTTGAAAATAGGAAATATCTTAGGTTGGATTAGACAAGAGAAGGAAGTGAGATTCTAGACACCAAAATTACTAGAAATTATTTTGGACTACTAGAAGACTATTAGAAAGTCTTCTATCACTGTTCTAGCCACGCTACACCATCCTGTTTCTTTTTTGGCTGGTGAATGCTCCCAGCCTTCTCTCTTCAGCCCTCTAAGAGGTGGTCCTAAAACTGGTTAGCATCTGGCCAGGGTAATGGAAGATAGAAAGAAAAAGTGAGGGGAAGGTGAAGATCTGCACGTTGTTTTGCTGGGAGCTTGCTTACTATCTTAGTATCCTGCTCTCTCCCACTCTCCCTCTTCTTAAGTGTCTCACAGCTTGGGGTCCTTTCAGACCTCAGATAACCTGAACACAACCCTTTCTCATCTTGAACCTGTGCCATTTGGTTTTCTTCCTCTGATCTTATTTAAAGTCACATTGCATAGTCATTTGGAATTATAATTCAAGGAAGCTGTGCTCATCTCAGCTTGGGGTCCACCCTCAAGGACTGGCTCAAAAGCAGTGTTCAGTCCTTAGGACTCACGGAGAAGCATTTGTATGTGTCACCCTACTCCTGACCCTCTAATGCTTTTTTTTTAATTTTTTTATCTTATTTATTTATTTTTAAGCTGAGCCATCCTGCTGCCTATTGGCAGCTCAGTGGCTGCTCAGCTCAGGGCAGGCATCGAACTGCTGTTGCTTAGAGCTCACACTCTTGAGCAAGCTCTTAACCCACTGAGCCACTCGGCCAGCCCTACTCCTGACCCTCTAAGCCAGCTAATCCTGAGCTTGTCCTGTTCCAAATTCTTGACTCTTAAGAAACCTGTTCTGGGCCGGCTGAGTGGCTCAGTTGGTTAAGAGCTTGCTCAAAAGTGTGAGCTCTGAGCAACAGCGGTTCTATGCCCAGCCCGAGCTGAGTTGCTGCTGAGCTGCCAACAGGTGGCAGGATGGCTCAGCTAAAAAACAAAAAAACAAAAAAACTGATCTCACTAATTTCAGTCAGTCTTTGAATTCCAATTCCCTCAATGGAGAGGAGTCTAAGAACAAATTCATAGTCCTAATTTGAGGAACATTTTGTTCCTTGTGAGAGTTTGCCATGCTAAACTTTCTCTTACTCCCTAGCTGAGAAGATCCAGGGAATAGTTAAATTTGATGTAATTTATCACATGCAAATCTCAGTTAACAATTTGCTGGGGACTCAGTAAATTCCTTTATAGCCCTTGGGATAGGTTCTTGATGTTGTGTTTGGAACTTAAGAGTTAATGCTGTAGAGGTTAATGTAATTGAAACAATGTAAAGGTACTGTTGGCACTATTTCAGGTATATTATGGCTTAAACAGATGCTTGAGGGCTGACCTGGGAACCTAACCACCATGACTAAGATTGTTTTTATGGGAAAATAAATTGGATAGTGCCTAGAAAGTTCCCATTTGATCCTCCTACAGAGAATAATTTACTGCTAATGTTTAATCCCTGGCTACCTCCTACTCCAGAAAAACTGAGGCATGCTTAAAGTAATGTACCAGCATTTCTGGGTGGTCCTACCAGTCACTTCTTTCCACAAATATCCAGAAACATGGAGGGCCAGGTGTTAGCTATGATGTCACTCGATGCATCTGGTTCCAGTTGCATTTCTGTATCTCGTATGTAGACTATTTGCCCTTTTGAATCTTAGCATTCCCAAACATTGTCTTCCAGTATAAGACTCTGCGTATGTGGAGGAGCCATTCAGAATATGCAGAAGTTATGGAATGGCCTTCAACAGGGAAGTGGGCTGGGCAGATGAAGTCTATCCTCGGGTCTAAATCCACTCTGTCTTCGTAGGGAACGACATGCCAACTGCCAAGCAACTAGCTGACATTGGCTACAAGACCTTCTCCACCTCCATGATGCTCCTCACTGTGTATGGGGGCTACCTCTGCAGTGTCCGAGCCTACCGCTATTTCCAGCGGCGTAGCTCCCAGCGCCAGGCTGCAGAAGAACAGAAGACCTCAGGAGTCCTGTAAAACTGGGGCTTTATTCCTGACCAGAGAGGCCTGAGGCACGCTGTGGAAAGACCTCACCTACAATCATGTCCAAGTCAAGAGAACTAGGGCCTTAATGGTTTTCAAACCCTGCTGGGGAAAAGTGCCCGTGTTTTCTCTGGATCTGCCAGTTTGGGGAGGCTATCACATCATAACAGGAGTAGGGGGGTAAGGCACACCTACAGACATTAAATATTTTGCCATGTCTGTGTCTTGGTGTTTTTGTTTACAAAGATCAGGTATGGACCACAGAGGTGGGGCTTTGGCTACCAATTTTCTAGTCACCGACTGGATTTCCATATCTTGAGCTCTTACTACCCATGAAGTGGGGGATATACAGTTTTAGGACTAGTAATATCAACTCTCATGATCTCAGAGAAAAGACTGTCCCAGCATCTGTATAAATCCCCTGAGAAGAGTCTGTAAAGACCAGAGCTCTTCTTTGGTCATTGACCATTCCTGGACTAATTACTGCGTCCAGATGATGGGGTGCTCTGGCCAGCATACACACATCTGAGTCATGGAAGGCAGAGGTCCCGTTCAAAATTGCACCAAGTGGGGCTGGCCGAGTGGCACATTGGTTTTAGGAGTTAGCTTGGGATGCCTGCTCTGAGCAGCAGAGCCCCAGTTTGGATCCCACATGTGGGCCAGTGATGCTGCACCCTCTACAGCTAAGATGGTGAACAACAGCTCGACCTGGAGCTGGGCTGCCGTGAGTCGCCGGCGACGGTGTAGGCTGCAGCGGGGTTGGCCAACAGCTGGTGTGAGCTTTCGTGAGCTGCCCTGAGCCGCTGTGAGCAGCTGTCCAATGGCCGGTGAGCGACTGCCTCACCCGGGAAGAGTGCAATGATAATACCAACATGGGCCAGTGAAGCGACGTCCTCCACAACTAGACTGAAGAACAAAAGGACTGCAAGTTTTCTGTTCTCCTCCCCCAATTCCCCAATAAAAATCTTAAAAAAAAAAAAAAAAGTTGCACCAAGAGGAGGTGGCATAGTTCCCAAAAGGAAGGGTTGTTGGGCAGCCTGTTGTCATGCAGTTCACCTTCCTAAGCTCAGCAGGTGTAGTATTAGCATAAGGGTTGATTTCTCACTGCGGTCACTGCATGGCAAGTCTATCTGCATGTCTTATTGCAGAGTTGTGAAGAACATTTGTTAGAAAACAGTGTATTCAAGGTGAAACCCAACCATGAAGAGATACTGTTGCCACCATTCCATTTTGAGCTTTGAGGCTTGCTAGTCCATGTCATTCTTGGTGATCACCCTAAATATCAACCCCTTGGACACCTGTCCTCTCTCATGCTGTTATATGCATACTGCTCTCGCCTTTGTCCCCTACTCGTAAACCTTTCTCACCTGAAAGCCCTCTTTCATGATTAATGAAAAAATCTCATCCACATATCCTCAACGCTTTCACTCCCATCCTTCTCCCGGTTCCCCAGTGCCACTTCCAAACAGTATAAAATGAGTCCTGTTTGAGGAGTTTTCTTCCATTCTCATTTCCACTCTATTAGGTTGTTGGAAAAGTCATGACACATTTTTGCAACGAAAAACAGAAAAAATAAGTCATGACAACCCAACAGAACTCAGAGGCTTCAAATCTTGATTCCTATTTTCTTCCAAACTGTCAGACCCTTCTTGACCCAAATTGCTTCCCTGTCCAAGCCTACACCTATAGCTGATCCCCTGAATAACTTCCCTATAGCTTCTGCCTCCATCCTTATCCTTCTCAACTCCAGACCTTGCTCTATTAGTTATGTACCTCTAACCCTCTTCTCAGTATATAAACTTGCTCAAAGCCCTCCACTCCCCCATCAAAACAAACTATTCAAGGTTATTTAAGGAGAAGTCATGTACCATTTCCTTGGACTTGAAGTTCCTCCCATATCCACCGAAACTCCTGGTTATGTCCCCTCCATCACGCCACACCCATGATGCTCAGTCCTCCCTTCACTGTTCCTGAGGCACGGAGACCACAGGGAGGTTCCACTATTGGGTTCTCGGAAAAGTCATGACGTATTTTTTGTTTTTTGTTGCAAATATGCGTCATGACTTTTCCAACAACCCAATATCTTGTTTCCTTCTACCCCTTTAACTTTTTTTTTAAGCTGAGCCATCCTGCTACCTGTTGGCAGCTCAGTGGCTGCTCAGCTCGGGCTGGACTCGAACCGCTGTTGCTCAGAGCTCAAACTCCTGAGCGAGCTCTTAACCAACTGAGCCACTCGGCCGGCCCTCCCTTTGACTTTCTTTTGATTCCCTGTCCCCATTTTAAACATTGATATGTTTCTAAGTTTTGTTCTTGGCCTATTGCTCTTATTCTGTATGTTCTCGGTTATTCTAGGAACTCAATGCTTTTAACATTATATAATATAGTTAAGCGCTCAGTGTTGGTATCCTGGCTCTGCTAATAGCTGTCTTGCAATAGGCCAGTTATTCTTAACTCCTCAATTGACCTCTGTCAAATGGGGATTAAAAAATTCCCAATTTAAAAGGTTAGTTTGAAGGTTAAATGAGATCATTCATATTAAGTATTTTAATATTCTGTCTGGCACATGATAAGCATTCAGTGACTGTCAGCTATTAAGGCCTGCTGCTGACTGCCCGAGTCTGTATCTCCCAGGTTGACTTTTTAAGTTTCATATCTATAGTTGCTTGATATGTCCACCTGAATAGCCTGTAGTCCTCTAACTTGACATGTCCACGACTAACAGCATTCCTTCTCGTCTCTAGAACCACTCATGTTTTCCCATTTCAGTTAATGGCACTACCATCCAAGTCAGAAATATGGGAGATTTATTAGATGATTCCATGTACTCTGCTCCCAACCAAGCAATTGACTTACTAATTTTTACCATTTAAACATCAATTCAATCCGTTTTACCCTTGTTTCTTGCTTACACTTTTGCAGGAGCCTTTTAGTTGTTTTGGTTCCAGTCTTCACCTCATCAGATTTAGTTGCTGTGTTGCTTTCAGAGACATCTGTGTGGAACAAATTGGATATGGCCCTCCCCTGCTTTAGATCCCCTCTGAAGCTCAACCATAGACGATAGGTTAAGAATCCACGACCTAGAGAGTCAAGTCCAAGACTCCTTAGTATGGCATATGAGGTCCTTAAGACCCCACCTTACGTTCCATTAATATCAAACTGGTTGCATACTGTTTTTTGTTTTCACACCTATTCATGTTTTCTGTCTGAATAGAACGTGCCCCCCCCCCCTTTTTCCAAAAAGGTTTCTGTGACCCTTCACCCTCCCATACTGGGCCAAGTGTCCATACAAGATAATATTTTTTCTCTAAAACATCTTCAAACGCACAAATAGCCGAGACAATTTTGAAAAGGAACAAAGAAGATGGGTTGGGCCTATCAGATATCAAGATACAGTAGAAAGCTAAAGTAATCTAAATGTTGGGGTATTTGTGCAGGAGTAGACAAAGAGGCCAACGGCACAGAATAATAAACAGAAACATAGTGTATATGTGAGAAATTGCATAGGCTAGAGGATAAGTCATAAACATGGGGAAAACCATACTGTTACGGATACATGTGTGACGGTAAAACTTTAAAAAATATGTATAAAAATGGATTGAAAGGACACACCAAATTTATAATAGTAGTTATATTGGGGGTGAGGTGAGGTAGAAGAGGGCAGAGGGTAAAGGAGTCATAAATGAAAACTTTCTGCTACTCAAAACACTTCAGACACCAAATGTGTGTTTTTCCCACATCAAACGATTCTCAACTCTGGACACCGAGTATCCTACAATTCTGCCACTAGCTACCCAGGGTTAGTGCTCACCCCACAGGTTAAGGGCTCAGTCCCACAAGACTGCCCCCCACTTCAGATGACTATCACAAGTAGCGGGTCCCTAGGTTACCCACGTGGACTCCTGCCTGACTTGGCTACAAATTGGCGCCTACAACCTCCTTAGGTTTGATAATTTGCTGTAAAGGCTCACAGAACTGAACTCAGGGAAACACTATTTACTAGTACTGGTTATAAAGGATACCACTGAGGAACAGCCAAATGGAAGAGATGTATAGGGCAAGGTAGAGGGCACACCACTCTATCAGTACCTTAATGTATTCAATCCTGAAGCTCTCCAAACCCCATTGTTGAGGGTTTTTATGGAGGTTCTATTACATAAACATGATTGATTAAATTATTGGCCACAGGTGATTAGCTCAAGCCCTGGCCCCTCTCGCCTCCCTGGAGGTCTGATGGGGCTGAAAATTCCAACCTTCTAGTCAGGCCTGGGTCTGGTTCCTCTGGCAACCAAGTCTCATTCTGAAACTATCTAGGGGACCACCCAGAGTCACCTCATTAGCATACAAAAAGACAACACAGGAGATTCCAAGGGTCTTAAAAGCTCTTTGCCAAACACCTGGGATGAAGACCAAATACTCATCAGCAGACAGAGTAAAGCAGATTAATGTGAATGGCCCTCATCCAACCAGTTGAAGGCTGTAAGAACAAAGACAGAGTTCCCCAAGAAGGAATTCTGCATCAAAACTGTAACAAACCCTGCCTGTTTCCAGCCTGTAGATCTTGGACTGCAACAACTCTTACCTGAATTTCCAGCCTGCCACCTGCTCTACAAATTTCAGACTTGCTAATCCCTACAATTGTGTGAGCCAATTCCTTAAAATAAATCAGTCTTATTCTCGCTGTCAAACCTATTGGTTCTGTTTCCCTGGAGAACTCTGACTTAACAGAACAGATAATGCATCTGTCCAGTCTTGTCTTCTGGCCTAGGTTCCCGTACACTCCTACCTCCAATTGTCTAACAGTCACCTTCACTTGTAACACCTACTGTCATTTCAAATACAGCTTGTCAAAACTTAAACTCAAGCTACTGTTTAGTACTTACTTAGCATGAACTGTATATAATGAAGAATAGACATGTTTGCTGTCAAATTAAAATGAATATAATCAAGTTCATTTGGTTATTACACTAAATATCGAACTGAATTCCCCCATTAAAAGACAAAGACTAATTGGGCTAAAAAAACTCCCACAAATCCAGGATGTGTAGTTTCTAATAAACATCAAATAAATCACTCTTAGACAGTAGAGCCATGTTGCTGCCAAAAAGTTTATTGTTTCCTAAATGGCTTTCATAGAGCAGTCACTGAGTGAAGACAGATCCCAAATCGGCTTCGTTTTTGTTTTTTTAAATAATTTTTATGAGTTTATTTGAGCCAAACTG